GAAGGAAGGAAGGAAGGAAGGAAGGAAGGAAGGAAAGAGGAGGGAAGAGGGAAGGAAGGAAGGAAGGAAGGAAGGAAGGAAGGAAGGAAGGAAGGAAGGAAGGAAGGAAGGAAAAGGGGAAGGGAGGGAGGGGGGAAGGAAGGAAGGAAAAGAGGGAAGGAGGAAAAAGAAGGAAGGAGGGAAGGAGACACAGGAGCTGGATAGCATTTCAGGTTTTCTCTTTTTCTGAAGTCACCGCTTCAAAAGACAGCAGCGTTGTTGCCTCTGGAAGGGATCCCAGAGGTCCTCTAGTCTAACCCCAGTGTTTATTTGCACAATAAAGTGCAGGGAAAGAGCTGGAAGGGACCTTGGAGCTCTTCTAATCCACCCCCTTGTTCAAGCAGGAGACCTTATACCATTTCAGATTGGCGGACACCCCCCCCAAAAAAAAACACCCAGGAAGAGAACAGCAGTTGTGGGGGCTGACTTTGGGGAAAGAGGCTGACGGGTGGAAGAAGCAGGTGCCCGGTTGTTCGAGCATGGGGGTTGGACTAGAAGACCTCTGAGGTCCCTCCCGATCCTATTATCCTATGTTCTAAATGTTCTATGATCCTCAGGCTGACAGCACGCCTGTCCTTCTCCGCCCTGGGAATTTTTGTCAAGTTAAAGGAAAATCATGGATGGGCGAGGGATGGGTGGGTGGGTGGGGGGATGGGGAGAACCCACCCGTCTCTGTCCAGGCCATTAATTCTGCATGCTCAGAATTAACCTTGGCAAGGGGAGAGTAATTCTATCCATAAAAATCTGCTGATTAAAGCTGGTTTTCGGAATTCGATTTCGCTTAATGCCTTGGCGCCTGGCCCAGCGTCGCATTAACATAGCCACAGATACACCAGGGCTTCCTATTGTTCGTTGCAGGCTGTGTGTGTGTGTGTGTGTGTGTGTGTGTGTGTGTGTGTGTGTGTGTGTGTAGGGGGGAGGGAGAACCTTTTCAATTAAAAAAAAGGCAAGCTAATGAAGCTCTCTCTCTCTCTCTCTCTCTCTTTCTCTCTCTCTCTCTCTCTTTTCTTGGCGTGTTTTAAGCAAGGATTCCTTGTAAGGACTCCGTTAGTAAAGTGCACGAAGAAGCAGGGTGCAGGTGCAATCAAGGCATTGGGTTCTAATGTTGGCGGAGAGTGCCATCTCCGAGCCAGCCTTGCCAGGTAGACCCGATGGGAAACTCAACCAATAGAAGCTAATTTTGCTGTATGGCAAAGCTATATTTATTTACACAATCTTACGGTCTGAAAGTACAGATCGCCCGCCGTCTCTTTGACAGCCTGAGAAACTAGGGAGGGTCTGACAGCGATCTTGGAGTCCCAGTTAAATAGGAGCCAGCCATGTGCTGCAGCTGCCAAAAAAGCCAACACAGTGCTAGGCTGCATTCCCAGAGGGATAGAATCAAGATCAGGTGAAGTGTTAATACCACTTTACAAGGCCTTGGTAAAGCCACACTTGGAATACGGCATCCATTTTTGGTCATCACAATGTAAAAAAGATGCTGAGACTCTAGAAAGAGAAAAAGAGAAGAGCAGCAAAGATGATCAGGGGACTGGAGGCTAAAATACACAAGGAATGGTTGCTGGAATTGGGGATGTCGAGTTTAGTGAAGAGAAGGACCAGGGGGGACATGATAGCAGTCTTCCAGTATCTCAGGGGCTGCCCCAAAGAAGAGGAAGTCAAGCTATTCTTCAAAGCGCCTGAAGGCAGGACAAGAAGCAACAGATGGAAACTAATCAAGGAGAGAAGCAACCTAGAACTAAGGAGAAACTTCCTGACAGCTAGAACAATTAACCAGTGGAACAACCTGCCTCCAGAAATGGTGAATGCCCCAACACTGGAAGTTTTTAAGAAGAGACTGGACAGCCATTTTTGTCTTCTGAGGCTTTTTCTCCCCCATTATGCAGCTCCGGGGTCTTTTTGAGACCCTGCCCAAAGCTCAGTTGGCAAAGTTTCAGGTCTGGAAACTTTGCCGTGACGGTAATTAAATCCTGTTCAAGGAGCCGACATCTCTCCACGCTGGCGCAAACAGGAATCCGGCCACTTTGCTCGCGTCGGGAGAACAGAAATCAAACCCAAAGAGAAAGCCGATTGAAATATTAAATTATGCTAAACAGGGACCTTGCCAGGATAACGCTAGAAGAAGCAGGGAAGGCCTTAATTTTCTCATTATATGTCAGCTTGGCTGGGCAGGGAGATGAGACGGCCCAAGGAGAGGGAGGAGACTGGGAGAAACCCAGAACTGGCCTGGAGACTCAAACACACGAAGAAGAGCTGCGGGACTTGGGTTTGGCTAGTCTGAAGAAAAGAAGAAATAGGGGAGACACAAAAGCAGCGTTCCAGGATCTGAGGGGCTGCCACAAAGAAGAAGACAGGGTCAACTAATTTATTCTCCAAAGCACCTGAAGGCAGGACAAGAAATGGTGGTGTAGGTCCTCCTGCTTGAGCAGGGGGCTGGACTAGAAGACCTCCAAGGTCCCTTCCAGCTCCTATTCTGTTCTACTCTACTCTACTCTACTCTACTCTACTCTACTCTACTCTACTCTACTCTACTCTACTCTACTTTACAATCCATTCCATCCCATCCCATCCCATTCCATTCCAACTTCTCCTGTTCTGAGCAATTCTTTCTTTGAGATTTTGGGAGAAGTGCAGAGAAGAGCAAGGAAGATGATTGGGGGACTGGAGGCTAAAACATATGAAGGGCGGTTGCAGGAATTGGGGGTGCCTAGTTTAATGTTTTAATGTCGTGGAAGCCCCGTCTCCTAGACTTTGGCTAATTTTGGAAAACCCTCCGCCGAAGATACACCCCGGCTCTCTGTTCCTAGTGCTTGAGGCTGACTCAGACCCAAATCCTCTTAGTGGAAATTAATTTTGGAGTGAGTCACTCGCTGCTCTTAGGAAACAAACTGGGTTTTAATTGCGTGCGCCGACTCTCCGAATACTAACCAGGGTTTCAGACCAGGGGCTGCGTTTTCCCCCGTTCTGTTTGGTGGTTTGGTGCCTCTTTAAATATTGATGGTTTCATTTCTGCAATTGATCGTACTGGGAATCGCTGGAGTTCGAAGCAGAACGTTGCCATGGACACCCACGTCCCATCCCATAATAGCTTTACCCTGGATAATTGGTTAAAGGCGCTGAATAAATTTGGAAAGTGTTTTGTAGGACAGAAGCTCTCCAGGGCAGCCCTGGTCCCCCTGGGGGCAGAAAACTGAAGGAGTAAACCGGGCAGGCAGGAGTTGACCTTGGTTGGCTCGGACCAGGTGCTGGGTGCCTGGGAGTTATAGAGTTTCAGGCGCTCCTTCCGTCCTTAATTGAGATGATCTACTTCTCTCTCTCTCTCTCTCAGAATGAGAGGAAAGGGATCTAGTGATCAAATCTAGAGGGAGGGAGGGAGGGAGGGAGGAAGGAAGGAAGGAAGGAAGGAAGGAAGGAAGGAAGGAAGGAAGGAAGGGGAAGAGGGAGGGAGGAATGAGGAAGAAAAGGAAGGAACTGGAGAGGGAGGGAGGGAGGAAGGAAGGAGAGAGGGAGAGGAAGGAAGGAGGAAGGGGAGAGGGAGGCAGGCAGGCAGGAAGGAAGGGGAGAGGGAGGGAAGGAGGAAGAAAGGAAGAAAGGAAACCAAAGGTGAAGGTACCACTGTGAATTTCAACCCTTTCTTTCTTTCTTTCTTTCTTTCTTTCTTTCTTTCTTTCTTTCTTTCTTTCTTTCTTTCTTCCATCTATCCATCCATCCTTCCTTCTTTCCTTCTGGTTTTGATTCATTGAGCTGACTCCATTTCCATCCTGCCTCTCTGCGCAAAGAACGACTCTCGGCAGCGAAAAGTGATTAAAACACAAAAATAAAACTTGTAAAATGTGATTTAAACTCAGGACCAAAATTAATCAGCGGTTCCCTAGAGAAGAGAGACATCCTCGCCGATTTTCAAAAATGCAGGGGGGGGGGGAAAGAAAGAAGGGATCCACGTGCCGTTCTCAAGGGAGCCCGGTCAACGCGCTTGACGGGCATCGTGCATTATATGAAATGAAAAATTATTCTCTTTTTCTCTTGTTAAAGGGAATTCGCTCCCTGGTGACACAAATGGAAATGATGCTGGTTAATTGTGCAGTGGAACACAGGAGTCCAAAGGTTGGCCTCCCTTTGCCTGAAATGGTATAGGGGTTGGACTAGATGACCTCCAAGGTCCCTTCCAACTTTATTATTATTATTATTATTATTTCTCTGACTTGGTTCTCCAAGTGAAAACACCTGGAGACCAGAAGAGCAGAATTGCCAGGCAAAACTCTTTTCAAGACCTTTGGAAAGAAGGACTGGATGGGGGGGGGGAAACACGATGGCAGTCTCCCACTGTTTGAGGGGCTGCCCCAAAGATTAAGGGGTCCCACCTCTTCTCCAGAGCAGGCAGGATAAGAAACAATGGATGGAAATTATTCAAGGAGAGAAGCAAACCTGGAACTAAGGAGAAACTTCCTGACAGGGAGGACCATTAACCGGTGGAACTGCTTGCCACCAGAAGTTGTGGGTGCTCCATCATTGGAGGCTTTTGAGAAGAAACTGGACAGCCATTTGTCTGGAATGGTATAGGGGTCTCCTGCTTGAGCAGGGGGGTTGGACTAGAAGACCTCCAAGGTCCCTTCCAACTTGGTTATTCTACGTCCTATAATTGCTTTCTCCTGCGAATTCCCCCCTGCACGAGGTGGCCAAAATAATTGAGACCCAGTTTTGTGGTTTGCCTTGCCTTCCAGTGACTTCTCTGCCGTTACACACACCCCATCACTGGCTTGTGACTTTGCGGTACCTCAAAATCAAGTGGTGTCTAGAAGCTCTTTTCTGACTAACCCACTTTTTTTCCACTTTCCGCTTCCGGCTTTGGTTATAATTTGACAGGTGGGGGAAAGAGTTTTCCAAGCTCTTGATTGACAGATGGCTCTTGTCAAGTGTTTGTACTCGTGGACTCACGTGCTGTTTTTTGTCCTCCCCTCTAGTGTCTCTACGGCTGCTACGTCCACTCGTCAATCATCCCCACGTTCCACCGAAGGTGCTACTGGCTGCTTCAGGTAAGACAGGTGCCCCTGCCCATCAGCAAAGCACCTTTTTTGAGTTGGGGGGTGGTGGAGGAGGGATTGGAGCTGCTGCGTTTTTGTTTTTAATGTGTTTTTTCTTTGTGGTTCTTTGTGAACCCCGGTGTTTCCATTCGGACGTTAAGAGTTTGGCCAAAATAAAATACAACTAGTTTTATGGCCACAAGAATTTTGGCTGCTAAGATGGGCCGTTCAAGCCCTTTCATAAATAAATATGTAAATAAACATTTATTAAAATGTTATTTAGTAACATAAAATATTATTAATGTTTTCTAATATGCGTTTGAAAGTTTGAATTTCCTTTTGACCTCTGCTCTGTTTGGGTTTGAACCGGGCTGGGACAGCTTGGTTCTCTGGGCGGCTGTTCTGATTTAATGGTGGTGTAATGATTTAATTTAAATTTAACGAGCGGTGTTTTAATTGTCCGCCCTTCGGAAGGGGGTCCATCCCGCCAAAGAATTGCTGCGGTGCCGGAATTCACCAGGCGCTGCCCCAGTCACTTCCATCATCCACAGTGGTCGGGCAGCACATTAGAGAGGTCTTTGTGTGTCGTTCCCGTGCGGCAACATCCAACCGTCCGGTTTGCGAGTGCAAAGCTTATTCCCCTGAGCCCCAAGAAAAATAGCCTTTAAATCAGTCGCTTCTCAAAGTCGGCCACTTGAAAGATGTGGGGACTTCAACTCCCAGCAGTCCCTGCCTGGAGACTTCTGGGAGTTGAAGTCCACACGTCTTTAAAAAATTGCCGGCCTTTGAAAAAAAGGGAAAAAAATCGATGTAAATCTTTTGCTGAAGTGTTTTTTTCACAACTCACCTGCCCTTTCTAAATTTAGCACCCTCTGGGGAAGAGGGCTCAAACTAAACACACAGACAAAAAAATCAATGCCGCGCGACACACACACACCCCTATGCTCAGCTAGGGAGGCGGCTCTTAAAACACAGCCTGGAATCTTGGAGCTGGAAGGGACCCGCGAGGTCATCTAGTCCAACCCCCACTCCTCTTTGTTGGTTTTTTTTTTTCTCAGCCTCACCTGCCTCTTTGGCGGGGAGGGGGGCCAGTTCAGATCAGGAAGCTTCAGCGCAACTTTGGCACTGTGGGAACCCCTCGGGATTTTGGCCAGAGCTGCTAGCCGAGCCCAAAATTTCCCTGGCTAAGTGAGCCTTGCCCCATTTTACCACGTTTCCCACCACCATTGTTTAGCTGTGGGTTGTTAAGTTGGTAACACAGTTGTTCAGCGAATCTGCTTGTCAAAAGGTCGTAAAAGGGGATCACATGACACCCCCCCCCAAAATCCAAGCGTGTGGATTTTGATCCCGATGAATCAGAAGCCTTCCAAGTATGGCCTTATAACGCAATATAAAGCAGTATTAACACCTTGATACTATCGCTCTGTTGATACAACCCAGGACTGCGCTGAGCAGGGGCTGGTCTATATGTCCTCAAAGTCCCCTTGCTACTTGAGGTCTACCACAGTGTGATCAGCCTTCTTCTGATGTTCAGGCAGATGCAAAGTGTTGCCTTTATCAAAGGCCGGGAACAATTCAGCGCAAGGGTAGACTTCAAAAGAAAAGTGTCCTTCACAACGCTTGATCTAAGTTTTGGGTTTTTATTTAATATTCTCTTTAGGTCTCTCTCTGCCCCCCCCCCCCGCAATGCACACACAGACACAAGATAACGGCAAGAAAAATCCCACAGCATTGTGACATCCCCACTTGGTTTGTGCAGCCAAGCCTGCGGTGCTGTCTTGATTTGAACGCACACCCAAAATGCACCAGCCGTGTCACGAGGCACAGCTGAACGGCCGAGGCAAACCAAGGGCCCCTTTGTTCTTCAATTAAAAAAATAAAATAAAATCTGATAGGTTTTGCACTTAGGCAAGAAAAAAAACAATAACAAAACCCAAATATACAGGCACAGATGAAGTGAAACCTGGCTCAATAGCAATCACTGTGAGAGGGACCCCATCCTCAGAGCCAGAGGGGATTGTGGTTTTTGGAGGTGGGGGAGGAGGAAGAAGAAGAGGAGGAGGAGGACAACTGTGGGGTCCTTGGTGCTCTCTGAGCTGGGTGGTTTTCTTGCAGACGTTTCGTGAACCAACTAGGTAACATCATCAGTGCTAGAAGGGAGTGGGGTTTGCAGAGAGGACGAGGAGTCCTCACTGGTCTCTGAGCTTCCTAGTTTTCTTGCAGACGTTTCATTACCCCACTAGGTAACATCATCAGTATCTCTTAGGCTTCATGGCTGTTTCCAGCCAATTTCACGCCAGCCTCATTTTTCTGCTGACAGTGGAGAACTTTTCCTGGTTCTCCTCCATGCTGAGGAATCTTTGTACACGTTAAACCACGAAAGCCGGCTTGTCACAGAGCTCCTTCGGGCACTGGGCTCGTTCAGGCTGGGCGGCTGTCCTGAAGGCCAGCGGAGGCACGAAGGCCATCAGGCTGACCACACGGAGGGCAGCGCATCAGCCAGGCTCCCGAGTCATCAGTTTGGCCATCAATTTCCTTGTGGACATCAAGAGTCTCTTAAAATAGACCTTGGAGTTGCGCCCAGCCTCCTGCCCAAGGCCAGGGAAGCTGGCCTATTCTCTAGGCTGTCCATCATTGTCCCCTTGCCCGGTCCAAGTCGTCCCCCAGACCCTTTTGTCTTCCCTGCCTTCCCACTTCTCTTTGCCCTCCCGATTGATCCGAGAAACGGGGAGATCTTTTTTCTCTGCAATCCTTCCAAGGAAAAGAGGCTGGGAAGCCCCCCCCCCCAATTTAACATTCTGCAGGTGTACACAGGCTCTGTTTGGCTCCCAGGTAACCACCTGCAGTTCCCCAGAAAACAAAGCGGAAAAGCAATTGCAGTGCAGAGAAATTATGGGATGGCAGGCTGAAAGCTCAGTGCCTGCAAGCAGAGTCTTGCTTCCCTGCCTCCCCCCACCACCACTCCATAGGAGGAGGAGAAAAAAAAAACCCTTTCTGGAGTCTTGTCCTTGTCTTTCTCATCATCACCGCCCTGGGCACAGATCGCCCTTAAGTAAGCTACAGAAAATAAATCGTGCTAAGGGTTTTTTTTTTCCATTGGAGGCCAGGCTGGCATCCTTGCAAAACCTTCTTTTTTGTCCAGCAATCTAAAATATAATAGAAAATAAAATATAAAACGGAGCAGTTTGGCAATATTTGAGGGGCTGCCCCAGAGAAGAGGGGGGCCACCTATTTTCCAAAGCCCCTGAAGGCAGGACAAGAAGCAGCAGGTGGAAACTAATCAAGAAGAAAACCAACCTAGAACTAAGAAGAAATTTCATGACAGTTAGAACAATTAACCAGTGGAACAGCTGGCCACCAGAAGCTGTGGGTGCTCTGTCACTGGAGGCTTTTCAAGAAGAGATTGGACGGCCATTTGTCTGAAATTGTATAAGGCTTCCTACTTGAGCCCCAGGGGGCTGGACTAGAAGACCTCCAAGGTCCCTTCCAACTCTGCTATTCTACTGTTTGCAGGACCAGTTCAGTGGCCTTCTAAATTTCTGAATTGTTGGCCGTGCCCAGTTGTGATCGTTCACGGCAGCACCACCACCGTTGTCACAATTTTGTGGCCCACCGGTTTTACTCTCCAGGAAAGGATTCCGGAGCGCTTTATAAATTAAAGCTGCATTATAGTTCGCGCCCAACAGCGTGGCTATATTTTTTTAGACGGTGTCGGAGTTTCTATTATAAACCCCATTTTTATAACTCGGCTATAAAACTTGCAGGGTGAGCCGAGACTCAGAATAAACCCCCATGCATCTTCGGCTTTGAAGAGAGGAAAAATATTAAAATCTTTTGCCCATATAATTGGGGTTCAGGAGCGAGAGATTTGCTGCTGTGCCAGCCAGGAAGGCATAATCTGCATTTTTTAAAATCATCTACAATCATCTACTATTAAATTTTGCCGGCGTAGTGGGGGGGGGAACTACAATCCCATTTGACCTCTTTCAATTTGGGGGGCCCTTATCCCGGGATGATAAAGGAACTCGCTGATAGCGGAGTGGGACGCTGAGGTTTGGAAAACTACATAAAATATTTGATATATATTTTTTTATTTATATATTTTGAAAAAAGACATATTTATATATTTTTTTATATATATTTACCCAAAGAAGTTATTTATTATTTTTTTCCCCTAGATTCCAAAACAGAAAGATCTTTTAGCTTAGTGAATTCTGGTGCAACTTCAACCCTGGGGAAAACTTTATTATTATTTTTTTTAATGTTTGTTGTACGAGAAGACAAAAATGCTTCATTAAGAAGCCGCGGCGTTGTCTTGTGTCTGGATGGGCTCCTGGCGGAGAAAATTAGGAGAGAAAACAGCTGTTGCGTCTTTTCTTTGTTTTAAGTGCTTCATCTGCTAATAGTTCCAGCCTCCGCTGCCCTTTTTAATGTCTCCCTTCATACGAAATCCTTTTTTTTTTCTTTTCCTTTCTTTTCCTTTCCCTCTCATCCCAACCCACCTCACAGGGTTGTCGTTGTGGGCAAAATAGGGGGAAGAAGGAGCATTTCGTACATTGAATTATTGGTAAAAATATATTTTTTTAAAAAAACCATTTCTCTAAGAGGAACGATCTGTCCCACAGCCTGACATTTTTCTAATCTGGCTGGGTTCAGGGGGCCACACTGGGGCCCCCGCCAGGAGGGGCTGAGCAGACCCACGGACAGAGCAACACACACACACACACACACACACACACACACACACACAGAGCAAAGCAGCCGAGCCCCACTCTGGCCAATCCTCAAGCAAGGCAGCTCCGCTCGCCAAGACAGCAAGCTGGGAATTTAAATTCCTAAACCGGATTTTCTGGCAGGGTGCCTTTGCGATCCAGCCTGTTTCTTCCAGATGCCTCTTTCATTTTTAATTGGACTTTTCTGCCTGGTTTTCACGTCTCATTGTGCAAGAAGCCGTCAGCGGGGTGAATCCAGGACGGGCCCCGGAGACTTCCGAAGCCTGCCTTGCGCACACG